CTACATTGTGATTGCTAAGCTGCAATAGCTAGAGCTAAAAATAAAATATATAATGGGAAGAGCAGACATTCGTCTAAGACATAATATTGTGAAACAATTGTTAATGATGGGAAACTATCCCTAAATTTTGTGAGGTCGGAGATGAACTTAGTAGATCCTTTGACAAAATCACTTGAAAGGAAGCAAGAGATGGACACATAAAGGGTAATGAGACTTTTGCCTATAAACAAAAGTTGATATTGATGGTAAACCAACCTAATTTTATGGAGATCCCATAAAATAGGTTCATATGGGACGAATAAGTCATCAGTCAATTTGGTAGATTATTCAAGATAAATTTTATTGTTCATTCATATATTATTGAATAATGTGATTACAGTGATATTAAGGTTGAGTTTTACTCTTAATGAATTCATAATTCTTTTAAGTTATTGTGCTTACTATGAGGCACAACTAATGAATTCACCTATATGAATGTAAAAGTTAGCCACCTTTCATGAGAATATAGACAATTCTCTAGAGAACTCATGAAACCCAGATTCAAATGCATGGAAGGAAAGCGTCAAATTTCAATGAACAACTATATTTAATTGATGTAATGTGGATATATAATCTTGCTTATACTCATGTTTATGCATTATATCTTTCACGATGATCTTATTCTAGATTTTACTTTTCTTTTGAAAATGTGGTGGATTGTTATATTTTATATTTTTCAAAAGAAATTTATAACGGAAATAATTATAACTGTTGTAACTGGTATAATTATTATTATTGTAATAGAAATACTTATTATTATTTTATGACATGATTTGAAAACGTTTAAATTAATTATCATAGAGTTTGTAATTAAAAAGACCTTCTATTTATGGTCTATATAAGGAGAGATTATTAGGTGCGGAGTGCAGACGGGGAGAACCGTCCGCACACTAGTATAAAATCCAGCTAGGAACCGTTCGGTACCGCTGGGTACCACTAGGTACCGCTTGGTACCCTGTGTCTGTGCAGACGGTGCTCTCCCCGTCTGCAATCCGCACCTATGAGCAGTGAGGAAGTTGTCCCAAACGAAGCCGTAGGATAACAAATTTAATGAAGTGGCACCTACTCTGAGTTGTCTTTGAGGTTATGTTAGTTTAGATTATGATAAAAAGAATTCCCTATGATATCTAGGAATAATCTAGGCACTTAGTTTGCAATGTCTAATTAATCACAATCAACTAGATTGATTTAAGTCCTCTGCGAATAACTTATTCAATCAAATTAATAGAAGTTAGAATTTTGGTTTAGTGATAATTATGTTAACCATGCTTATGACAACCTAGGTGATCCACTAGGAAGATCATAGCCGTCGTTTTGTTCGTATAGTACGAACGGCGTAAAATAACTTAAGTTAAAACGACTGCTAAGGTTTTGGATTTAAACATATCGTACAGTACGGTTTACATTTATACGATAAGATCTATTCACATAATCGTCCTACAAAGCTCTGATCGTACGGTACGAAATAAGATCGTACAGTACGATCTACAGAGAAAGAAAAACTCTAAATTTTTCATTTAAAAAACACTTTCCCCCTGTGTGTGTACATGGTTGCTCAGACTTTTATGCATTTTGTGGCCAGACTCAAGAAAGTAAAAATAAAATAAATACCAAAATACATTATCAGACTTATACTCCTAACCTACCCATTCTTGAGTCTTCCTATCGTCCTGAGTAGCTTGTGATCTTCCTGAAATATTAGTACTCACGGACAATAGCAAACAAAATAATATTCAATGAATAGATAATTCAAACGACATTATTTGTCATCATCAAAATCTCAAACTCGAGATCATGGTTTGCAACAAGTAATTAAATAGAGTCGACAAAGTTCAACAAATAACTAAGAAAATACCCCCGTATACCCGCATGGGCCCAAACGAGCATGATGAATTCACACATGTAATATCTAGGGATGTTGCGCGGGTCAAAAAATAAACCCAAGTTTTAACTGATCATTCTATGCGGGTAGATAAGAGTCAATACAGCTCAAACCATCAAATAAATATATGGTCACAATATTAATCGATATATTTATTTTATATATTCATATCAGGCATTCAAGATCTATAATAAGAGAAATTCATTAATAAAGAACCTAGCTAACAATGAATCTGATCCTCTATCGCAAGTTCATAAAGTTGACAAGGTTCAGTTAATAAAGTACAATGAATCTGATCCACTATGATGGCCTTGCTGAACGTAAATCTCAACCAGAGGGGTTAATTCCAAAAATTCAAAATACCACTCAAATGCCCGTGAAAATTTCAAAAATTTCAAAATCCAAATATTTAAAAATTAAAATTCAATTATTAAAAACTTAAATCAAAACCCACACATCCCCTGCAATAGTTTGTCGAGGTGGACAAATATAAAAATTACTTATACTCACAAAGAGCTAATATTTGGTAAAGAATATCACTTGGATTCATTCTCAAACAGTCTCTTGCTAGTAATGATGTGGCATGTGTCCTCTAACCGACAATTTCATTGCCAAATGGCACAACAAGTAAATAGTTTTGACTAGGGTCTTCTGAACTGGGAGGTTCACCTCCAAATGGTGCCACTAAATTAAGATCATGGTTAGAGCCCGTATGTTCATCAATGGCACTAAATTTTTGAGATATAATTCAATAGAATATAATCGATATGGAACAAAACCCTTTATTAGCTAAGATGGATTCAAATTTGTCCTCTTAGATAAACTTCCAACCCAAGTCTACACCCTTGAACGACGCAACCCATGACAGCTAATAAGGATCCTTCTATCATGTTGGGTTGATTACCTCCTTTGACTAAGTTAACCAGAGACCACGATAGTCCAGGACGACGTAACCCATCATCCTTTTTAAGTGTAAGATGGTGAAATTTTTATTTTAAATACTGAATTTCTAAAATGAAAACCCATGGTGTTACCATATACTATATAATACATGTTTTTACATATCTAATTAACGAATAATCTTAATCGAAAGTTCTCTCTCATTATCGAGAGAGGTAATTAACTATAGAGGCTTGTGCCTATAGAAAACCATAACTCAAATCATAAATGCCTCGCAAAATAAGGGTAAAATCTTTGGGTTGTGTCTTATCTATAAACCCAATATGCCTTCCCAAAATTTACCCCGAAACTTAATTCGTTAAAACTCTCCAGAAAGCAGGGGGAGGACGGGGCGCAAATTTTTAGAGCCCATAGTGGTGCAATTATATCTTGGAAGTCTTTTAAACAGACTTGTACAGCTCGATCCACTATGGAATCAGAATTCATTACTTAAAAAAAGGAGGAAAAGCATAATGGCTTAGAAATCTCTTAGCCAATATTCTAATTTTTTAGGGACATATCTCATCGGTGACTCTACACTGTGATTGCTAGGCTGCAACAGCTAGAGCTAAAAATAAAATATATAATGGGAAGAGCAGACTTTCGTCTAAGACATAATATTGTGAAGCAATTGCTTAATGATGGGAAACTATCCCTAAATTTTTTGAGGTCAGAGATGAACTTAGTAGATCCTTTGACAAAATCACTTGAAAGGAAGCAAGTGATGGAAACATCAAGGGTAATGAGACTTTTGCCTATAAACAAAAGTTGATATTAATGGTAAATCAACCTAATTTTTTGGAGATCCCATAAAATAGGTTCATATGGGAAGAACAAGTCATCAGTCAATTTGGTAGATTATTTAAGATAAATTTTATTGTTCATTCATATATTATTGAACAATGTGATTACAGTGATATTGAGGTTGAGTTTTACTCTTGCTGAATTCATAATTCTTTTAAGTTGTTGTGCTTACTATGAGGCACAACTAATGAATTCACCTATATGAATGTAAAAGTTGGCCACCTTTCATGAGAATATAGACAATTCTCTAGAGAACTCATGAAACCCAGATTCAGATGCATGGAAGTAAAGCGTCAAATTGCAATGAACAACTATCATTTAATTGATGTAATGTGGATATATAATCTTGCTTATACTCAAGGAAACAAGTTCATAAAATATTAAATTTCATTTAGTTCCTATTAGTAAATATTTTCTTATCCTAAAAAATTGGTTCATAGTCCAAAAGATGCCAATGTTTATGCATTATATCTTTTACGATGATCTTATTCTAGATTTTACTTTTCTTTTGAAAATGTGGCGGATTGTTATATTTTATATTTTTCAAAAGAAATTTATAACGTAAATAATTATTACTATTGTAACTGATATAATTATTATTGTTGTGATGAAAATACTTATTGATATTTTATGACATGATTTGAAAACGTTTAAATTAATTATCATAGAGTTTGTAATTAAAAAGATCTTCTATTTCTGGTCTATATAAGGCCTTCATGGTTATAATGAAAAAATAATAACAACAATTTTTCTCTTCATCATTCACTCAACCATACATATGTTTAGAGCAAATATCTGCATCGTTGTTCTTACTTCCCGTTGTGATTAGTGATGATCACCGTGAAGAATTAGACCGTTGCATACCTTTGCACCTGGGAGGAGCGGAAATCTAACTTTAAGAACAGTGGTTCACATGTCTCTGACTATTTATTTGAAACCCCTTCTAATTGCAATTGTCTTATAGCTCTTATATTTTTTACAACAACAACAGTTTAACATCAGCTTCCACATAACATAGAAGTAAAGTGAAACTAGCTCTGCAACATAAAATAGCAAGCAGGGAAAGAAAATTGTTTATCAAAATGGAAATAGAACTCCCTCCCCAAAAAATTCTGTTGTTATATTCCATCTATATTGAATGAGTTGTTACTTAAACAACAAGCAAGAAAAATCTCTTTATAATTTTCCAACAAGTTGATTTGGACATGTACCAGAACTTGCATAAGTGAGAAAAAAATATATTTTTTTGGAAAGAAATAATTTCATTTGCATAAATGTACATAATGTCTTTCCTAAAAAAAAACCTGCTGCATAACATTTATTCAATACCAATAGCCTTCAAAACCAACCCGTTTAAAAGAGAAGATGACAAATTGTAATAAAATCTCCAACTAAGCCAATTAACTTCTACAGTGTTGGGGCAAACAAACCTTGTACATGATGTCTCTTCTTCCTGCACCATTCCAATTGAAGCTCCTCCACCGCTCACTCGTGATGGTTCTAATCGCTGCCACTTTCCTCTGCTTTAACTGTTTCCGATCAAAACCATTAATGCTTCGTTTCTCCCCTTCCATGCAAGCATTTAAGTGCTTTTTCTGCTGCCATTGATTGCTAAAAGAATATATAACGGTGAAATCCCAGTATATCTTAGCCACTAGGATTTTGGGTTTGCAGCGTCTGTAAACTCTGTAACAGAAACTCTCTGCAGAGTTTTCATTCGAAAGTCTGAGGTAATGAACCTTCTTTTCTCCCTTCATCTTTTTCCTCTCCTTTAACTTATTCTTGTGTTCTTTTCGTTGAGAGGCACTTCTTTGCATCCATGGGATCTTAACAAATCAATTTCAAGGTTGTTTAATGAAGTCTTACTATGAAAGTTCTGTGATTTGTTTAGTTTTGGTCCCCCTATGGAGATGAACATAAAATCTGAGATATTTTTTTGTATGTTCTTTTTGGAATTACTCAGCAATGGAAGGAACTCATTTGATAAACATGAGAATTTGTTCTCTATTGATAAAGCCGTAAAGGTTAAATCTTTATGTATCTCATCATCTGCATGTATGGGCAATTCCATTAGGAATTTCTTATAGCAATTTATCCCAAACTTTGATTAGAAAATTTTGCTTCAAATGTCTGAAAATGGAGAAATTATTCCGTGCGGAGTACGGATGGTAAATAATCGTTCAGATGTGAGTGTACACAGTATGTACAATGAGTATAATTTTATACATAGTTTGATTTTTTTATGTACAGTGTGGGCAAATACTGTGTACACTCAAATTTGAACGATTCTTTAACGTCCGGACTCCCCACGAAATAATTTCTTGTGAAAATGACTAAACCTACACCATTTCTATGCAAATTTCGAGGTATAATCTTTTCTGACATTTCAAAGTACATTAATATGCCAGCTGCATTTATGAATGAATATATTTTCTTGTTGATAAAAAGGATGAGTTAAAGAAGTCCAAGAAATTAATGCCATTAATGAGCATCTTGCTTTTTAATGGCTACAATTTTATCATCTTAATCGTTATCAGGCCACGCATTGCCCGTTGGATAAGGGGTTTAGGCTCCTTTGTTACCATTTGGATTGAAGGGGAAAAAAATTTTTTGAATATACTTTATTGATTATATTCCAACGGCAAACTGTTTGCATTAAAGAGATAGTAATTATACTATGATTTCAGTCAATAAGGGTCCATTCCGTCCTCGTCTTCAACTTCTCAACTCATACTGAAATACTTAAGCAAAAAGTTTCTTTTTTTTTGTTTCAGAGATCTGAGAGAGAAAGATGAACAAATATACAGTTCAGGTGGAGAATGGGAGGGTTGGGAAGAACGGTCAGCCATCTGTAGGTCCAGTTTACCGGAGTTCTCTTGCAAAGGATGGATTTCCACCGCTTGAGCCCGGCATGAACACCTCATGGGAACTTTTTAGGTACTTCTATATCTTAAATTAAAATTTTATTTTTCCTGCTTTGTTATGAGTCTCTGATTCAAATTTTCTTGTTTAGCCCTGCTGCTTGTGAACTTGTTCAACAAAAAGAGCTTAGATATTTGTATGTTATTATTATGCAAAGAGTTTAAGTGAAGAGAACTTATCAACATAGCCTGGACTGTCTGAAGATTTTCTCACTTCTGAGAAGAACTCCCAGTGCAGAAGATTAATGGCTTCTAATAACTCTACAGATAAGAAAAAATAAGAAGAGAAAATTTAGATTTGAATGCTGTATTTATAAAGACATAATGGATCCAACAGATCATAATGGAGATTTATTGTGTGAAGCCATAACTGAGCACTGTTCTGCAATCGCTTGCACTGCTTGGATGAGTCAATCAATTGGAGATTTGCTAATGGTTCATAAATGAAAGTTGTTGTGAAATTGATTGCGGACCTTCAATTTGACATTTTTCTGTTGTTATATTTATGATATTTGGTTCCTGACTTCCCCACCTTGGTTGGTAACAGTTGATGAGGATTGCAAAGTTCTTTCAGCAAAACTTTTGTGATGGGCTTTTAGTTTGCAGTTGCAAAGGTTTTGTTATTTTAATATGAAAAAATATGTTTTAATTTTTATAATGTTCTAAGGCTTCATTTGTGACAGTTTCCTAACTGCTTTCTAAAATGATTTTGTTAGTATAAAAACTTTTTGATCAAAAAATATGTGTTAAAAAACGGCTTTAGAAAGTACTAAGAAAGCTATTCCAAATGGGGACAGCTTTCTTACTGCTTCTTAAAGTGGCTTTTAGTACAATAATTAACAAATTTGTACTAAAAAACGGTTTTAAGAACTAGAAAGAAAGTCATCACAAACGAAGCCTAAATCTCTGAATCTCTATCTGATGTGGTGCATCAAAACCTGAGGAATATCACACCTCCACTTCCACACTCTGTTTTCTTTCTACCACCTTTGTCTCTGTTTCTTATCTGTTTTAGTAAAAGTTCAGCTCTTCTGCTTTTATAAGCTTAGCTATATACAGTAAAATAGATAGCAAAGAACATATATACTCAATAGGACCTTGTTAACAAGAAATTATTGTGGGACCAGTTTTCTCTCTATCTACAGTAAAAATGCAGTTGCTACTATAGACAAAGAGAACACCGGATGGTTCTCTCGTCCGGTGTCCTCACAAAATAATTCATCCTTGTTAGAACAGCATATAGAAAAATACATATTTCCTGTTGCATTCTTTTTTCCTGTTTCTTCTTCTCCATTCCTGCAGCTTCACCCATTCAGGTTGCTGAACTTGTTGGTTTTCACACCACTATCTCGTCAAAAATAGTACTAAATTGGATTTCTCTTAAATGAAAGACATTTTCTAATAGCTTTTAGATTAGTTTGTAATGTTAAGTGGTCTAATGTCAATAGATGTTCAAGGACAATCTGGTAGGGGAAAACAAAGCTGTTCATACGATTTGCGACAATGGGCTTTATGCAGTTTTAATCATATCAAGCAGGCTTGATAAGCATCTCATGGCTACAAGCAAGATAACAACTAAGTTTTGCAGGTGAACTCAAACTAGAATGTGAATAAGCCTAATACGTAGCTCTTCCGACTGCTATCTATGAAGTCAGCCTTCTCAAGATAAACTATTGATCAACTACTTAGCTATTCGACTTTCAAGTCGACAACTTCTAAATCTGCAAAAGTATCATATTTCCTTTTATTTTTTTGTGGTTATGTCGTAGCCATATATGTAATACTCAAACCTCAATTGCAGTCTATAAATAGGGGTTTGCGAGGTGAGTTTAGTTTATATTATTTTACTCAATTGGTCTCTAAAGACACGATTCTCTATACTCAAGCCTATTTTACTAAAATCTCAAATCTTCTTACTCTGGAAATATTCTCCCTCTCGATTTTCTTGTTCTCTTTAACTCAATATTCTCGGTGTAGTTAGGTGTCATTCACGGATAATTCTGAATTCAACAAAACTCTTTCTTAATTCATTGTGTCATGTTTAAGGAATGAAAAATCATTCATATTTTTTTTGGGAGTACATATTACATGATTGCTTGCATGCATTCACACACACATAGGTGTGACAATATATGTTAAACTTTAGATATTCTATTAGTCAATTGTAGAAATTACTTATATATATATATATAAGCAATTTTTCTATGATTCACTAAAAGAACATGCAATTCTCAACTAAGATTGACACCTATGCGCATTGTAAGATACTTCAATGTGAAATCCTTTTCATTCTTGGAGAGCCAAGCTTTTTTATGTTTATACATATGAATTTGGTCCTCTCTATGTTCCTTAAATTTATTATCTGAATAACTTGTGAAAGATACTTTTCAGGTTTTCTGTAGAAAAGAATCCTGAAAATAAAATGATTGGATGGAGGGAATTCAACCAAGGGAAGGTACCTGCTTATTACTTAGGCTTCGTTTGGGACGGCTTTCTTACTACTTCTTAAAGCAGTTTTTTATTACAAAAAATTTTAATTTTTGTATTAAAAAACCGCTTTAAGAAGGAATAAAAAAGCCGTCGCAAACAAAACCTTAAGCTGCTTAAAATTGGCCAATTTAAAAGTGGTAACTATGTGCTTTGAAACTAAGCGCAAAATTTGTGCTACTACTTTTCAGGCAGGGCCTTATGTTTGGGCAACTTATAAGGAAGTCTATGAGGAAGTAATACATATTGGCTCAGCTTTAAGGCAACTAGATGTGTCACCTGTAAGAGCTCCAGTTTTTCCTAGTACTGCAATATCATTTTCTACTAGAAATTTAAGACTTTTTCTAAACTCACTTTGATAATGGTTATTGTGTGATTCTAACAAGCAATAGGGTACACGAATCGGTATCTATGGAGCGAATTGCCCACAATGGGCTATGGCAATGGAGGTTACATTTTAATTTCACCATTTTTAAACATATTTTCATACATTCACTACAGAGTTTCAATGCTTTTACCTCTCAATGAGATAAGTCCATCTTTTATTATGAATTTACCAACTTAAGAAAGTAAATGCAGGCTTGCAATGGATATAGCTTAATTTGTGTGCCTCTCTATGATACACTAGGTTGGTTAAACATTACTTTTAGCTTGAAATATTTCACTTTAGCTAAGTATGTTTTGTTTAGTTCTTATATTGCCTAATGAAATCACTACAGGAAAATTGTCAATTACCGGCGACTTTTTCCGGCGGTTAGTATAATTTTTCCGGCGGTTTTCTAGCAGTTTGTTAACCGCCGGTATAAACCGCGTAGGAAACAAATTGCGGTGGTTATATTACCCCGGCATTTCCGGCGGTTTATTATTAAACACCACCGGTACTTCTGGCGGTTATTTGACCGCCGATAATCGTTGATTTTTCTGTAGTGAATCTTTTAGAAACCTGGTAACATTACTTTCTTTCAATACTATTTTGAACAGGAGCAGGTGCCATTGATTACATAATCGATCATGCTGAAATTGATGTTGTCTTTGTACAAGATAAAAAAATTAAACAGGTGAGATTTGATTCAAGAAGGATCTCAATTGTGAGAATAATAGTTTAAAAGTGAAACCTTTTTTGCACACTTCATAGGTTCTTTCTTTTGAATGCAAAGCTGCAAGGAGACTGAAATGTAAGAATTATTAACATCGCTTGCTTAGGTGGTTTGCTTTAATAGATGAACGGCTAACCTTTTTTAATTTTTGACTTATCACAGCCATTATTTCATTCACCACTGTATCTAAGGAACAGATAGATGTTGCTGCAACCATTGGAATAAAAGCTTATTCATGGAATGATTTTATTCTACTGGTTAGTCTATGGATTTTCTCTCCCAGAATAAAATTTTCTTTATTTCCTCATCAAAAAGAACAAAACATTTTTATAGAGAACTAAATAGATGCACATTATATCAGTAAGACAAACTACTAGATATGTCATACTTCCAATACTTTGTATTAGTATAGGTGTTTTACTTTTTATTACATGACTTACATCTTCATTCTTGTAGGTATTTCAGGATGAAGATGTCATGAAGGAATCCAATTAACATTGTCAATTTGAAAATAGAGTTTTGATTGGAACAAATTGAGAAAGAAATCACAAGTAGATCCATAATATAAAGAAATTTTCTATGGTTTAGGCATCAATTCTCTTTCATTGATAGTTGCATAGATTTGATTATAGTTCAAGTTACAATTAAATCATTCATAATGTATTATGGCATATTACACTAAGTTATTCTATAAAATCTAATCTAAGAAAGCAAGATTATTTAGTTGAGAATCAAGCTTCAAAATGAACTAGGCTCCACAAACTTTGAATAAGTTGATTTTAAATAATTGGATACTGCCAAGTATAGCAAGCTAGCTATGTTTTACCCCAAGTTAACTTTAATATGTGAGATGAGTTCATGCAAAACTGAAAAAAGCTTCATGAGATAACTATGTTCATTCACAATTTCACATTAATAGTTTTTTTATTACTTTTCTTTGGTTTTAATATTATTTTCAATTTTGTTTTTATAGGGAAAGAAGTCTCCCTTAGAACCTTTGCCTCCTCAACCACTTGACATATGCACAATAATGTATACTAGTGGAACGAGTGGTAATCCAAAAGGGGTTATTTTAACACATGAAACACACGCGACATATGTAAAAGGGGTTGAACGTTTTCTAGATCAATTTGAAGACAAGGTTATTACTTTGTACTTAAGTGATGTTATGCTTTAAATGATTTAATTTCTCAAATTTACCTATATGGGTGAGACATTTACTTGTGCTTTCTCTGTTAGATGACAGTTAATGATGTTTACTTCTCCTTCCTTCCTTTGGCGCATATTCTTGATCGCATGATTGAAGAATATTTTTTTCATAAGGGTGCTTCTGTTGGGTACTATCAAGGGGTACAAGATAATTTTTCTTAGAGCATATTTTGTTAGTTCCATATTTTTTAACCTTTCTTTTCCATCCTAAAATTCCTTACAATTTGTGCTAGAATATTGAAGCTTTAAGGGATGACCTCATGGAACTGAAGCCGACATTCTTCGCTGGCGTCCCTCGAGTGTTTGAAAGAGTACATGAAGGCATGATTCTTATGGCTCTTATACAGTTTGTTGGACTTATTTACAACTGATCATTTCATCATTATTTTTAGATTTCTTAAGTACTTAGTGCACATTTGTATGATACTAGGAATATTAAAGGCAGTGGCAGAGCTAAGGCCGCTAAGAAGATTGATCTTTAACCTTTTGTACAAGCAGTAAGTTGGACTATCTCTAAAACATTAGTAGGAAATATTGAATTCTATTAATCAATTTGATTGTTATTGCATTTCAGTAAATTACACTGGATGAGACTAGGATACTCGCATAAAACTGCCTCCCCATTTGCAGATTTCTTAGCATTTAGCAAGGTTGTAATGCACTCTTATGTTCTAGATCCATTTAAAATTTTGAAATAGCATTATTATTATTTTGGTATCATAGAACTAATAGTATTTCTTAGTTTATTTGATGAAGAATCAATTCATTCATTTTATTTTTTCCAATTTTTTGCAATTGATTCAGGTGAAAGCAAGACTTGGAGGCCGTGTTCGCTTGCTTGTATCTGGAGGTGCCCCATTGAGCCCCGAAATCGAAGAGTTCTTAAGAGTAACTAGTTGTGCTTATATGTTACAAGGCTATGGTAAAAATTCTATCACTATTGAGAATAATACTTTTAGTTTTTTTTATTTTTTTAATAAATAAAGTTTTAAACACCAGAAATCATCACAGCAGATGTTCTCTAAGGCCCACACTTGCTAATATCCTTTGGTCATGGAGCTCTTTGCCTTCTCCAAACACCTCTACAACTTACCATTATCAGCCACCTCTATATATCTTCAACATTCTTTAGTTGTGAATCTACAACAAAGATATTATTATTGATATCTAACATAAATCTTATGGCTTGATCTCTTCATAACATTTTCTAAGGATTGTTGGCCTCTTATGTGATTAACACATCCAATTTTCTTTGTACTCACTAGCCCATAACTTCTGCCTTCGATTGTTATATTTCAACCTCCAACTCTTTGTCACTTGCATTCATGGGAAAAAATCCTAAAACCACTACTTTGGATTGACCTATATATGCTTTTTGGAGCTATGAAATGTTCATTCTTTTGAAAAGATGTGAGTATGGGGATATATTACTAGCAACAAACTAACTCATGCTAAGCTCTTGATGAAATAAATATGAGATTTCTCAAAACAAGAAGGATCTGGCTCCAACTCTCTATCACTTTGCATCCATGGGCAAACATCCTAATGCTACTACTTTGAATTGCTCTATATATGCTTTTTGGAGGTATGAAATGTTCATTATTTTGAAAAGATCTCAAACACGGGGATATGTTATTTGCAACGAACTAACTTCTACCAAGATACTAGATGAAGTAAATATGAGATTTCTTAAAATAAGAAGGATTTGGCTGCAAAAAAAAAAACTATAAAATTATTTCTTGGATTCATAAGGTCACCACTATTACCATACACAGCCAACTTGACAATTATGATTCTACTTTTATATGATTTACTTGTCACCATTATCTCTATTGCCAAGTTTTCAGATTAATATCAGCGAGAGTGCACTCTTCAAAATCTTCATCAATGTTCTATAGAAGCCATTAATAAAATTAACATTCAAGCTATTATTATCCAACACTATGAATAATATATTCTCATATAGTTTATGATTGCTCTTTCTATTTAATAAATATAAACCAATACATTTATCAGAGTCCTCTCCCAACCATACATGAAATTATCTCAACATAAAAATGACTTGATACATCAAAATTTTCCCTCATCTTCCTTCTGTTATTCCTTATACTTATTAAACAACTACTCTTGTTTATGAATCTCTTTCTAGATTTATTGTTTTTTTATATTCAAGATAAATAAACACACTTTTTAAACATTATCCTTCTTGAAATTGTTGTTAGTGTCTCAAATTGATCATGAACATCATGATACAGAATATCCTAAAGTCATGTGTAGTCTCCAACTGCTCAACCACCTTTTGAGGAGTTTTCTAAGCTCCACATTTCCTATGGCATCAAGACCTTTTGTTATCACCTCTACCAATATCAAATGTTCTTCTATGTCACTATTTCTATGACTAATTTGCAACACTTTTCAATCAACACAAAAGCCAAATTAGTTTGTCACTCTCAACTTTCATGTCTATGAGCTTAGGTACTCCTCTATGGTATTTTGAGTTTGCATATAATAGTCATATGATTGTTAACCCACGTTATTTCTTACAATAACAACTATCCCTTTTATCCCTTTAATACGCACTATAAATGATTCTACTTTGTTTGTCACTCATAAAAGTATGTCTCCACCACTCTTACTTTATCTCTTCCTTCCATTAATTTATTCCCCAAATTATCTCATGCTCATTTCTATTACACAATTATTTTTGAACTTTGATATGTTTTTCTATTTTATCACTTTATTAACACATGTAGAATCCTTGGATGAGGAAGAATTTTGGGATAGTGGATAGGCATGGTCTCCATTTACACTCATCAATCTCAAAATAACATTATTTTTCTAATAAAGTATCTAAAGTCTCCACACACTTACACCCCATTCAATCTCTAATATTCTCATCTTGATCATATAACTTTTGTCTTTCTTAACAAAATAGTATCTAATTATAATTATCATTTGTAATTTATTTATAATTATATGAATTATTGTATTTCTTGTCAAATGTTAAAACAACCTACATCACCTTTTATGGTTAGGATTCTTTTATTAGTTCTCTATTTGATCTTGTTCACCTTAATGTTTAGTGGATTGCTTGATAGGTGAATCTCGATATTGTATCATCTTTATTAATGATTATTTTACTTTAATTGACTTTAATTATTGAAAAATTTATCAAAATGTTAGCAAATTTATTCTTGTTTTGTGATTATGATTTATATGTCATTTTTCATATTGAGTATAAAATATCTCATACTGACAATGCAATGGCACTTCCTCTCTTAATATTTTATGACAACACAAAGCTCTTTAATAATACTCTTTTCATGAAACTTATGCTCAAAATGGCCAAGGGAAAAAGAAAGAATCATCATGTTATTGATCTCTCTCAAAATTTAACTCTTGTTGTCTCCTGTCCCCCCCCCCCCCCCCAAAAAAAAAAAAAAAACCCCCCCAAAAAAAAAAAAAAGTAAGGATGTGACTGCAAAGGTTGACCTACAATTAAGTGCATGTGTACTTTATTTCATAGGACAAATAGTTGGCTCTACAAATTAACACAAAAAATATCATTCTAGATTATGCAAGATATTATCTCTTGTAACCAAAATAGTCCTTTGATCTTCTCCATTTTGCCAATATCAATGATTTAAAAGTCACTTCCACTCTTAAGAATCTTATGGTCACCTCAACTTCATTGATAAAACACCGCTTTTAAATTTTACTATATATCAATAATTTCTTAGATGATTGTTTCATCTCGCCATTACTTGTCCTTATATTGCATTTACAATAGATTGCGTTAATAAGTTTTTTATTTTACCTCGCTCTATCCATTGTAATGATCTTCTTTATATTTTTTGTCATGAGTAAAGTACTCTTCATTGTGGATTTCATCACTCTACCACCTCTCCACCACTGCTTGCTAACTACTCAAATGTTGATTATACTAGTGATCATACTAATTGAAAATCCATCACTAGATTTTATCTCTTCTTGGGAACATTTTTGATTTTTTTTATGGAGTAAAAAACAAAAGTTGTTCATTCTAGTGCCTAAGCTAAATAACTTGTTCTTGCAAATATAGTGAAATTACTTTGGTTTTGATGGTTATTCATTTATATGAGTAGTGATGAACATGAACCCTATATTGTTCATTATACCAAGCAGAATGGGATTGCCATTTCAAAATGTCCACCATGAGAAAAGAAGGCATACTAATATTTATTTTCACATCATTTATGGGAAATTTTCATGTACTGTTATTTTTGTTCATTACTTCTCGTGAGAAACTAGCATATATCTTCATCAAATCTCATCCTCAATAATAATTTTAAGAATTGTATGCCAAACTTAAAAGTTAAGCTGACATCTTTTATGCATTCATGAGTTTGCAAGAGAGTTTTATTGGAGAGTATTATCATACAACATCACCACATGTGTAAAATCATATGCAAGAATAACACTATTCTCATTATTAAGAATTGCTCCTCTTCATTGAATTATTTCCCTATTTCCTCCTCCTATCTATAAAATGCAAGAGATAAAGCTCCAATTCTCTCATATTTTCTCTTCTATATCATAGAAAATGGAAATAAAATCAAATATTCATGAACTGCAGGGCTTACAGAAACTTGTGGTCAGACTACCATTGGATTCCCTGATGATCTCTCTTTGATTGGAGCCGTTGGTGTACCCACTACATTTACAGATTTACGTCTTGAAGAAGTTCCTGAGATGGGCTATGATCCATTAGGTCAACCTTCAAGAGGTGAAGTTTGTGTTAGGGGAAAAACACTCTTCTCTGGCTACTACAAGGACCCTGAGTTAACAAAAGAAGTAATCAAAGATGGTTGGTTTCATACAGGTAGAGCAATGAATGGTTAATAAGGTAATCTTACCATTATGACATTATTTCAATTTAATTTTTCCTTCTTCAGGAGACATTGGTGAGATAACACCTAATGGGATATTGATAATAATTGATCGAAAGAAGAATATTTTCAAACTTTCACAAGGAGAATATATTGCTGTTGAATACTTGGAGAAAGTGTATAGTGCTACTCCTATCATAGAAGATGTATGCTTTCTTCTCTTACAAGATAAATGCAATTTTTTTAAATATATATATATAGTTGTGGAGCTTATTTTTGCAATACAATGAACATGTGCATGCTATATAAATTTAGTTATGAGTAGATTTTGCATTAAGGCCACTAGTGGGGTTGAAAGGGAGGCAAAGCCTCTTGTGTGTTATTTCATTAAATGCATTTTAAAAATATCTTATATATTGGCCACCATAGAGTTTGTTTTCTTTATAAATAAGGGGGGAGAGGAGGAGGATGATGAGGAGGGGGAGGTGGTTCTAATGATATTCAAGAGAAATAAGGATCTTATCTTCTACAATCAAATATGTTGAAATCTACAATGGTGGCAAGAAGACATAACCAACAATTAACTCAACCTATATAGATTTCTTGCATTTTTGTTCATTGATCTTCTTGTCTCTTTCTATTACCTTTCTCTCTTTATTTTCAAATATGTTTCACCTATTTTTCAATAGACATAAATGTGTTTGCAATGTCATTCTCTAAACAGTTAAGAGGATTTGAGTATATTAGTGGTATTGTAGTGGATCCTCGACCTTTTGACATTGAAAGAGACCTTATTACTGCCACAATGAAGAAGAAGAGATCTCAAATGCTAAAATACTACCAGGTAAACTACACTTTTTTCCCACAAGATTGCTTCTTCATTCTCATATTATATTTTGCCTGTCAATGTCAGATTACTTACCATCAAAGCATATATATACAGGTTGAGATCGAACAGGTTTATAAAAACTTGGTAGAAGAGAATAAATGAGGTTCAAGCTATCTTCATAACATAGAAATGTTGCATATTTATTTTGAAATTGTGATTAGTTTCATATGTAAGGTAAAATTAGCTATTTCCAGTTCTATTTTAGTAAAGAATAATTGTGTTTTCAATGAACTACCATTGAAACCACTTAGCTTGGTTCTAGAGAAACTTTATTTTCATGTTTAAAGGGTAAGAAATGACATCCTGATTCGAAGAAAATAGATGTTGTTTACTTGATAGTAATTGAACCTTCATTATTATGAAAGTTTTATTGGTTTAAAAAATAAAAATTTTTACAAAGAAAATAAAAATTTTGCTCTCTTATTTAGTTGTGAGGCTTTCTCCTTACCACTGTTTCACCCTTTGCCTCTATATATGCTAACCTTAGTAATGAAAATATGAACCAAATTTTAAATTTTTATTTGAGCTTATTTATTAATTTTATTATTGTGTTCATTAAAAAAAAATATTGATTATTATAATTGGTTTTGTGATTGAATGTTGTAACTAGTTGCAAAAAATATAAATCAGGATGTTTCCCTAATTTCTCATTCGGCTCTTCTTGCCTACTTTGGGCTTCGATCGCTCTCACACATCCTGATTAGCCTCTGGACTGTCCAGAGACCGCATGTAATAATTTCGGCACGAGACAACCCCCTTTTCTCTAACGCTCACTAGTCAAGTCAATGTTGGGTGCACTCAATTTGCTCCTCACTCTCACCTTCTCCATCCATCACATGTGGAAGGGTAAATTTAGCAATGAGAAAAACAAAAGAAATTAGTATAATTGTTCAAAAATATTATTATATGAGGAAAATTTGTGAGGCAAAGTATTAATTTTCATAAAAATAATAATAATATGTGTCATTTATATTTAAATTTATGTAGGAAAAATATGAGACGGCTCTATGCATAAACCAATATAAATTCCTACCAATATTATAGAATTAAATCCTTCTTGCCAAACAAGTTGCATTTTAATATTGGGTTGATGGATGCACAGTCAATAATTTGAATGAAGAATCATTATAATAACTTTTATATAATCAAACCGTTTGTACACATTGAATTGATTACTATAATTAGGACTTGTTGAGTTGAAGAAGGATGGCTTAAAAAGAGCAATTGTTTACTTGGATTAAGGCTTCATTTGGGACAATATTTGACCAATAATTTTTCATTGCTTTCAATAATTTTTTATGCTAAAAGGCTTCATTTTTAATTATTTATATATTATACTAATCTTGAAGAAGATTCAATAATTGTGATACTTATTCCAATCAAAAATTTGTTCAAGAATTAATTTCCTTACATGAAAATTTTAAATTTAGATAAAAAGGAATTTTATTGCACAAATTGGTTGCTATTCCTAGATATTTATTCTTATTATAATGAAAAAATATGTATAATATAAGATAATATTTGAATAATTTCTTCAATTAAATCTAGCCTAAAAATGAATATTGTTGCGGGCTAGAATATACACGACGGTAGAGTTAGGTTTTCTTGTATTAATGTTGTATGGATATCCAACACACAAATATAAGAGAAAAGAAACAACATAATTTTTACGTGAAAACCCAGAAGAAGGGAAAGACCAGAGTCAGTCCGTGATTTGTTCAGTTCGCAAATGCATGAAAAACAAATTATGAAGCAATTTGAATGGATCGTATTATCATCATGGAGAGGAATGAGATTATTCTAAAGAAAATTAAGGTTAGTTACCATCCCAAAAGTCAAATAATCTCTTGAGAGTTGACAAAATTAAGTTGATAAATGTAAATGACGGGCAATATTTTTATAAATTGACTAACATTTTGAGCTAGGTTGAGTCATTATTAATTTATTTAGGTTTCATTTGGAACGGCTTTTTTATTGCTTCTTAAGACGGAGTTTTAGTGCAAAAATTAAAATGTGTATTAAAATTTTGTTTTAAGAAACAATAAAAAAGCCATCCCAAACAAAGCCTTAAGCTACCAAACAAACTTGACATAATGGGATCAAGGAGAATATCGCATTCCTTACTATGACACAGAGAATAGCAATACAACCAATGACCTAACAAAAATATAAAAATAAGTCATATGAACTTTATTTGAAAGAGAAATGAAGTCACATTTACTAAAATATATCACATCATGAATTGGGGGAGGACTTTTTTCAATATATATATATAGAGAATGCTTCTGTTGACATACATTAGGAGAGAAAAAAAAAACATTAGAAGGAGAGAAAGTAGAACTATCAAGTGGAAGAATCATATAAATCTCTTTTTTCAGATCATCAACCTAAAGAATGAAATTTTTAACATCTATTTAGTAGAGTGGTCATCATTGTTAAGCATCGAGCAAAAATTTCTTCATGATCAATCTCATTCTAATAGAAAATATTTGGTTGCATAGGCTTTGTTTGGGACGGCTTTCTTTCTGCTTCTTAAAACAATTTTCTAGTAGAAAAATAATAATTTTTATACTAAAAAGCTCCTTTAAGAAGTAGTAAGAAAGTTATCTCAAATGAAGTCATAATTACAAATTTGTCATAAATACTAGTACATTCTTAGTAATTGTAAATTATCTTAGATTAAGAATGATCTTATGATCAACAAATCCTAAGATTCATGACATAACTATTGCATTTTTTGTTCACTAATCTAAAAATTTTAAAGGAGCAAACCAGCCTCATTAGTATACCCTTATAATTCTTTTGTAATGATAAATAATTGAAATTAAGATAGAGTAACTCTTATATGTGAGGCGCATATAAAAAATGTCCAAATTGCTAGTTTTTTTTTTTTTCAATTATAGGGAAAAGGTACAATAAAATACCACTCCATGACCACATCAATCAAATACAAAGAAATTAAGGGGCTGTTTGGTTGTCTGAAAAGAAAATGTAGTGTAAAGTAAATGTAATGTAAAGAAAATGTAGTGTAATCCGAAGGGAAAAGGTACAATAAAATACCACTCCATGACCACATCAATCAAATACAAAGAAATTAAGAGACAAGAAGCAATTTAAACTGATAAATGGATGGGGACCAACACCGAGTTGTCAGGATGGGGTCATCCAAGGGAGACAACAAAATCCAAAACAAGATGCAGCCAAATCAGCAAAATGAGCCACCCAGTTGCCAACCAACCCTGGCCATCAATGGCGCTTGCAGCAGAGTTGCTTTCTCATCATCCATGCCGACTCGAACTGAATCAGACAAGGCAACCAAAGCAATGAAAACTAGAAAAAAGAGAAAATCATCTCTTCTTGGATTTTCATTTACGTTGCGAAATAAACTTATCAAGCAAGCCCATTTTGATATAGATATCATCCTCTCCACTGTCAATCGACATATCATCATGCAACCAATCACATTGCCATCTAAACGAATGGGCAATCAAATTAGCATTTGAGATAACCGAAATAGGCACCTCAACTAGCGCCACCTCCTTACCTGCCTCCCCATCAAAAACCACAGCTAGTTCACCATACTTGCCAACAGTCAAAATCCCATCCTCCGCATGACTAAGACTTTCATTAACATTCGCATAGTAGTTAATACCGACACAGTTATAGTGGGATGAACCATATTAGGGGAAACAACCCCATCCACACCATCATACACCACAAATTCATCATCAACACAATCAGCAGAAATATTGACAACTGGAGAGGGAACCTAAGAAGATCGAGCCAACCCAAAATTACAAGGGGAATCCAGTACAACACCCGATTCAATCGCCACAGGAGAAATAATAACAGGTTCATGAGAGGGCTCAGGTAATCTATTCTCAGCAGAATTAGTACCATCAATGTCGGCCGAAGCCACTGGGACTGACGGGATTGCCACAAAGGGAGACCCACCCAAAGATGGTAAAATAGGAGAAACAGTAATATGAGAAATAATAACAGGGTCATTAGAGGGCTAAGGTAAACCAATCACAGTAGAATCAGTACCAACAGGGTCACCATCCCGCAACAAATTAGATGGTAGAGGCAAGGCAGATGAATCAAGGTTATGATGAAGAATCATATAACCAGCTTTCAAATGCCCCAAAGTTAAACAGCGTGCACAATACTCAGGAAATTTTTCAAAAACCATAGATTGAACATACCCAATGCTATCCGGGCCTATCCGAATTTTGTCTAGGTACTGTTTGGACACATCAAGTTCAACTAAAATACGCGCAACAGAAAGACGTGAACCAGTGGAGGTAGCATTATCAGTTTTGAAGGGTTTGCCAAAAATTAAGCCTAAGCCATGAACAATACGCGGGGCAAACAAATGAGGCCGAATGTTAGGGAAGAAAATGCAGATGGGGATAACTAGCAATTCAATCTCAGTATCCAAAGTAGGTGACCATTTTATCAATTTCATATAGCAATTACTCACAAAATATGACCTATGAGAAAAGACCATACAGTAATCCAAATCGTTAAAGAGCTTAATCAAAATGTTACGTTGGTTCAACACAGTGACGGAAACCTCGCCATTTAGCTTAAGCTTGAAAAAGAAACTTCTAATGGCATCAAGGGATATCCAACGGCCAAAGAATTTTCCAACAAGAGCAAATTCTAACGGAGCAGCCAGTGACTGGATTTTCGCCTCCGAAATTCATAGAGCGGGAAAACCTCTATGAGAAGAAACTTTAAGTTCGGAAAAGACAACGGAAGAAGGCAAAGAACAAGAAAGAGCATCCTTAAACGAAAGAGATGAGAATCCAACCAAAAAACTAGGATCCCGAAATTGTGGAGGCGCCATAAAACCAGAAAAAAACCGAAAACAACGATGAAGAGTAGAAAAACAAGGAGAAGAAACTTCCCTGCGGCACTCAAGGAGAAGCACCCAGCACGTACTGCGGAGGAGGAGCAGTCGGAAGGACCGGAAGAGGCGGCTAGGGCGATGCCCTAGCATACCCCAGAGAGCGAGAGAGAGACATCGTGTTATTATGTCCAAATTGCTAGTTGACATCAGGATCTAACCCAAGAGAATTCACCAAATAAGAGATTTTAGAGAGAGAGCTTTCCAAGCTAAGTGCAGGTTGAGCATCTAGGACTCTTTCTAAGGAGAGTTTTAAGAAACTTTGGAGAAGCTTGCGGGTTATGTTGCTCTATGAGCTAGCTAGGAGTCACAAAGGTTGTGATCAAATTAGAAGGGAGAATGATCGACAACAAGTGTGTCTTATACATCATGACCAGGCAATATAGGATCAAATTATAGAGTTAGTTTCAACCAAATAAGAATACAAGAGAAATCGGTGCAACGACAAGTGCCTTGTCATGTTGATCAAATGGTCAGTACTTGAACGAGAGAGCAACGAGTGATGACCTCTTGTATGTGTTTTATGAGATCTAATGGAGAATGTGAACTCTCTGATCGCACTAAGAAAAGATGTATGAGATGTGCAAGAATGGCGTTATACATGACCTCTGGCCGGGAGACGGAGCATATATGTAATCGACGTTATATGAAAGACGAGGCACGGCATTGTACGAGAGCTGAAATAATCTCGAACAAACACTTGCAACAATGATATATTATCCCTCTTCAAGAGGGTTCTCCTTATTATACTATAAATAACATGATAGAATTACAGAATAATGTTTGAGCAATTTCATTAATTAAATCTAATATAACAAGAAATCTATTATCATTTTGCCGAATGACAAATATTGTTGAATATAATATGAATTACTCAAATTTATAGTTATAAATGAAAGGGTACAATTCAAATTTAAAATAAAAACATATTCCCAATTTTATTTAAAAAAAAAAAAAAAACTCTCAACAACAATCAATAAAAAAACAACGGCCGTGATTTTGAGTGAATAACATGACATGACACACACCATCTCATGAAAAGACAATTTCAAACTATTTAATTGACCTTCCTGCAGTTCAAACGAATCTGACCGTTGGAGCCCGTAAGCGGACTGAGGGCTCCCATCTTTACCATAGCTGCAGCAAAATCGCTGAAGAACAACTGAGTATTAGTACTGTACTGTCTCACCAATGAATCCTGACTCCCATTGTTGAAGAGCTCCTGATCGGAATGCAGCAGCCCGCTACGTCCCACCAAGTTCTGGTAATAATCGATCCCGAACCGGTTTGGGGTCTGCAGGTCCAGTGGTGCCAAGTTGCTGTCGCCGCCCGAAGATGGACAGTTTTGTTTCCGAAGGGCGGCGAAGTTAGGTTTTATATTGTTGTCATTGTAGATGTGAGATCGGAAGGTGGTGCAGCGGGCCTGTCCGATGGTGTGAGCACCGGAAAGCGCAGTCATGTCGCGAGGGCTCATATTCTTCGCCGCGAAGGCGGAGATGAGCGTTGAGAGGCTCGAGGCTGGGCTTGGGAGATTGCTATTTGCCGCGCTTTGGCTCGCCGTCGTCGAATCCCTGCGACCGAGAGCCACCGTCCATGACGGTCCACCCAGCTGCATATATCATATTCAATACAAATTAGATCATTATATCATACAATTATCATATTTTAGGCAAATTATTCTGTGGCGTTCGGATTGCTGTGATTTTACTGTGCTTTTACCGTGCTTTTGATGTGTTTTTGCCAGTGTTTTGAAAACCGGACCGGACCGGCCGGTTCAACCGGTTGAACCGTGAACCGGCCGGTTGACCGGTCCGGAAGAATCTGTAAACCGCTTCAGCACTGAACCACCTAAAAACCGGACGAACCGCCGGTTGAACCGTAAAACCGGCGAACCGGACGGTTTTGATCGAACCGGACGGTTCAAAATCACGATTTGTCCGTCGTTGATTTCACAATCCACGGCTAAAAGAGGCTTTTACTGAACCGTATAACCCTAAATCCATAAGCTCCAACGCACGCAGCCGCGACTTTTCATCCCAGGTCACACGCGATCCCGACTCTTCTCCTCTTCGTCAGCAGGTCACGATCCCGATTCTTCTCCTCTTCGGCTCATCCGATCGCCTAACGATGATATCATAGAAGCAAAAGGTGGAGGCGAGGGAAGCTTACAGCATCTGGCTTGATCGTAGGCCGAAGAAAACCCGCGCAGCTTACCTAACGCCAGGTTTTACAGTTTTACCTAAGTTTTATTTGATTCATTGCAGCTTCGATTTTTCCTCCCAGGTCGTGATCCCGACTATTCTTGTCTTCGGTAGGTCGCCATCTTTGATCGCCTAACGATGATATCCCAGAAGCCAAAGGTGGAGCTAAGGGAAGCTTACAGCATCCGGCTTGATCGTAGTGTACAAAGAAAACCTGCACAGCTTACCTAACGCCAGGTTTAATGATTTTACCCTAGTTTTATTTGATTCATTGTCCATTAATGTCATGAGTTCAGAACTACATACATGAGTTTGTGATGATATTTTTCATATATAGGCTCTTTTTTTATATGTGAAATGCATATGCAATATTTGATTTTAATTAGGTACACATTGTTTACTAGATAAAGATTTTTCATGGTCTTATCAGTGCTACTAAATATTTTTTTTAATGTATTAGCATGACTAATCTTATCTGGTCTTTAGTTTGTACATAATTAGTTTGAGATTTGCAACTGTTATTGATCTGATTATCATATGCTTGGCTAATTGCTTGCTTTATTGTGAATATGTAATGCATAACATGTTTCTATCCTCAAATATCTGAATCTTTTGAGGCAACTGATAACATATAGAGTGAATGTATTAGGAAAAATTTCTCATTTATTTTATAATTTTTAATAATATTATTATTTATTACGTCATCCGGTTCGACCGGTCGAACCGGTTTAACCGTGAACCTCTCATTCTTCCGGTTCATTGTCCGGTCCGGTTTTCAAAACCTTGGTTTTTGCAAAAGGATAGCTAATATATAATTTTAATTGCATATTAGTTATTCTTTTGTTGAGTATTTGCAAAAATATTACAAAAGAGCAATAAATATCTTACTCATTGAATATTTGTTGCTCTTTTGTTACGTTTTTGTTGCCCTTTTCAAATACTCAATAAAAGGGCAGGAAAAGAGAAGCTAATATGCAATCAAAATTATGTATTAGTTACCCTTTTGTAAAAATACATAAAAAAGAAAGTTAAAGCAAGTAAAAGCCCAGCAATCCGGCGCAAGCTTGAGTCCCATGTGCCCACATATATACTTACCCGAATAACACCTTCACGAGCTGCAAGGGCGAGAATGTCAGCACAAGACACTGTTGCATTGCAGGAGGCCTCCACAAGAGATTTGATGGTGTCGATGACTTCAAATCCCCGGAGAGAGTTTTGATTTGGGAACGCGTTCTTTTCACCGGTGAAAGTTGAGCTGTCGTCAAGAAGAACTGAAGCATCACAACCCTGCAGATATCGAAGTACAAATTAGAAAAGCTTAGAAATTAGAGAAAATGTTATAAGGAGAGAAATTAGTTCTGTAATGGCTCTTACATTAACAAAGCAGTCATGAAAGAAAAGTCGAAGAATGGAAGCACCCATGCGAGAATCATTCGCCACTGCTTTGGCCATGGTTGAGCTCACAATGCTCTGCAACTTTGGGCAACTGCGAGCATAGAAGCTGGTTGTTGAGAGCTGGGCTTGCACTCTGCAACTCAGCAGGCTCAATACAAAGAGAGCAAACAACCTACTTGAAACCATAGTAGAGGCCATTAGAGCTAGCTGGTTGAGAGCAAGGTTTGCTGTGAAGAAAGTTGTTTCTCGAAGTAGGTATTTATAGAGGAAAATAATTATATTGCATACAAGAAGATCAATTAACAAACGGTTAATGATAAATATTTAAGATTAGGGAGAATTGCTGAACTTAGCTGATGAGCTAGAGATCATTGTCTCTGATATTATAAGAAAGAAAGAAGGGAATGCTTACCACTTTCCCACTATTTTTATGGCAATAATGAATAAGGCGTGTGGACTTCGTGCTTCCAATGATATTGTAATGGAATGATATTCATCCAATGATTATATTGATTTTAGTAAGGAAGGAATGGTGTCCAACTATCTGTTAGACATTTAAGATTTGGTTTTATGCATGTTGAATTTTGTTTTGGTCTATGATTCCTTCACCTAATCAAATATAAGTTTTAAAATATATAATAGATCTTATTCCTCACATAAAAATTTAAAATAGATCTTATTCCTCACTGTGAAATGAAGAAAAAAAGAAGAAATATTAGTTAAAATTGTAAGAGTGCATGATTATTAAAATCCTTTTTGACTTTGGAATCCATAGGGTTAGAGAAATATGAAAGACTCCAATGAACAGTTCCGAATGGCTTCATTGATTATCCTATATTTGTAAATATTTGAGTGTTTGAATGATATCAAGATTGAGCAATTGAGCAATTTTTAGCTCATTAGATTCACCTCATTAAAATGCACATTTTCATATTAGAAGTTTGTTGAAAATCGAGTTTGAATGATCTCAAATTATAACTAAATTCTTTATATGATGTTCTTCATTCATATTGATCTTTATGTACACAACGTGTTTACATTTTTTAAACTTAAATTATTGTTTTTTTTTTATTTGAGTTAACTTAATTGGAATAGTTTTATATTTTTTATGATTGTCTAATATCAAATGTTATTACATATTATTCATGTTTTTTTATAGTTTCAACTCATAAAAGGGCTTAAAAAATAAATGTAAAAAAATATTATGAGTCCTTACAGGGATCTAACACTCACTAACTACTCAACAAGCTACAATCAAAAAGTAAAAATAAACCCTACGAGTAAAGGATCTCAACTACGATACATAAACAAGAAAAAAAAAGGTAGGCAAGAAGTCATAATCCAAAAACTAAACCAAAGCTTGGATAATCTTTAAGAACTAGGTATGAATCAAATACATGTAAAATTGATTCACATCTGCAATACAACAACCACAAAAAAAAAATGATATAGACAATAAATAAAAACAAAATGATTAAACAATATAAAAGGAGACAACCAAAATGATACGACAGACAAATACAACAAAAATCACACCCAGACAACCACTGGGAACAGAGCAAGAAACTAGGGGAGCCACCGGAAGGAGCAAAAAAATAAAATAAAAAGGACGGGGCTAGGATAAGAAGAGAAACCAACAAAAGAAGAACAAAATTGACCCAAATGAAGACAGCCAACCTCCAAAACATAACATGAATAGCCCAGAAGTAAGGAAACCCCAAGACTAGAAAGCTATAAAAAACCCCAACAATTTCATAATGTAGTACAAAGAACTGGTCCTCAGAGACTTGCTGATATAAGCCATCCAATACCATGAGATAGATCAGTAAATTAAAGAAGATAAACACTAACCAACCCAGTCAAACAATAAAACATACATCCAACAGCATAAGCAAAAGAACTATCAACATTAAAGTTGTTGAAATAAAACGAGAAAAAATGATGAGCCACACCCCAAAAAGCCCCACAGTAAGTCAAACAACTATCCAACTCATAAACAAAATAGAGGTAGGCTGGCTGCTAGCTGCTAGTCAAATTTCCAGTCATGATTGAACAACTTGCAATCATAGCAAAAACCCATCCACTCAACATAATCAAGAAAGAGAATGGAAAGAAGGATAATCAAGAAACTCACAATGGATAAAACTAGAATGTGAGTATACCTCATGGAACCAACAACCAGCAAAATCATGAAAAACACATTAATACTGCAACAACACTCCACTAAAACAAGAAGTACCCTATTGAATGTACTCATCGAGCTCCCATTTGATAGATCAGCAAAGCCTTTTTCACACCAGAGAATCAAACCTCTTATAATGACATAAAAGAGGGTGATTAGTATGATAGTATTTGTTCATCATGAATTTAGCCTACAAATTTTTATTTGTTATGAAGGAAAATTACAATTTATGAGAAAAAGCATGAGCCATATCCATAATAATAATTTTACACCAAAGCCCCCCTTCATCAAGGATATCATAGCTTTTCTTCCAAGAGGACCAAATAATACAAGAATTGTCATTCTTACATCAAGAACTTGTTGAAAAGTCTCTTCAAACATAAGAAAATATAAATAAGTAACGAGCAAAGAACATTTGTTAATTAAAACTAACCTACAACCAAAAGACAGAAAATTAAAAGTTCGGGTCGTCATTTTTTTTTTTTTTTTTTTTTTTGTTAATAGAAGAAAAATGTCCTCTAATAGATGAGACATTTTCTTACCTTTAATAAAGGGCCCCTAAGTACTTAATAGGGGGAGATTTTGAAACAAAGACATATTTATGATAAATAATATTAATTCTACCCTGATTCATAGATTTAGTAGTAGTAAAATAACTCTTATGTTTATCAATGTTCAAGACGTACATTGATTTGTTAAAACTGTAAAAGAAATTTAAAGAGGAACTTGATATTATTTAAGGAACCATCAGAGAAAATAATAAAATCGTCAGCAAAACTAAGATGAGTAATAAAAAAATCACCAATAGTATGATAATAAAACATGGGATATATCTCAACTATAAAGATACTCGAAGTTTGAGTGGATTTGAAAAAAACCTTGACTTTTACTATTGATAATCACATAAAAGAAATAGTTTTCAATGATATTCTTGATAACATAATAAAATAAGAATTGAAACCAAATAGAGATAATATCTTATAAAGAAAATTCTAGTTAAGGTTGTCATCGTCTTTAGTAATGTTAAGTTAAAAGATAAAATTACTTCCCTTTACCTTAGCATTAACATCATGGATAATTTCTTGAGCATTTATACATTATCAAAAATGTCATGGCCTTTAATAAACCCAATTTAACTAGGGGAGATAATTTTAGGAATCAACAAAGCTAGTATTCCCTTAATGGTCATTGGTATGAATGTTAATGTTTAAAAAGGAAGACCATAAAGTGTTACCTTTAATTTAAAGTGCTTAGGTTTAAGGACGTTAGCAATAAAAAATTGTTGAACTTTAGATTTCAAAACAATGATGATCATATCATCACTCATTTTAGTGTTATTATATTTAAAATTGGTTCTCTCCATCCATATATAGATACCAAAAAACAAGCAAAGGAATAAGAATAAGGATATAACCTTCGTTTTTATTTTGGAACCAACTAGTAAAAAAAAAAGAGGATTATTTAAATTGTGGCGCACTTTAATCCCTAGCCCTTTCTCCAAATCAAACCAAACCTTACAAGCAATAGGACCATTTAGGAAAACTTGAAGAATGGATTCAATGTGCCAACAACACTAGCATTTAGACACCAAGAGGATACCTTTAGCTTGTAACTTGATGTCAAGAGGAATAAAATCTTTTAGAATTCTCCAAGTCAAAATAGAGACAGAGATAGGAATAAAAGAATTCCATATTTTACCAGTGATATCAGAAGAGTCCTTAATTCTAATATCATTCCATACCTTTTTAGTACTAAAAACAACATTCTCATAAAATTTTAGAAGTATCAATAGATATATCACAAATATAATCAACAATGTATTGAGGCATCACATTCTGCAAAAAAAGATTAACACACCATTTACCATTATGAATGAAACGAGCCACCCTAATATGCATATGTGCTTTAATTAAACAACTAAAGCCTAAATAACAACGGGTCAAAATCAACTCTCGTTTTTCGCCCTAGCCGCCTCCTGGCGATTTTAGGGTTTTGCGAGATTTCTCCTCTCCCGGACATTTCTCCTTGTTGTTTTCCGTCTTTCCTATTGGTTGCTCCTTCTTGTAGGTATTCTGGTGGCGCTGCTGTCTTTTTCCCCTTTTTGGGGGGCAAACTCTGGTGGTTATGGCTTCCTCTAACCCGTGGGGGAAGATAGCCAGTCTGATACATGGTAAAAGCAAAGGTTTCTTCAACTTGGAAGGTGATGCTCCTTCTAAATCTCCTACTAGGTCTTTTAAAGATGTTTTATCGGGGGATCCTATGCAAGGTGAGAACGCGCCCAAATTTACTCAGTCTGTGATAAATGGTGCTCCTGCTGTTCTCATCTCTGATGAGGACATTCTTAAACTGGCGTCTCCTTTTAAATTTACTTTAGTGGGGAAGTTTAATCTTCGTAGACCAAATCTTGATAACATCCGTTCTTTTTTCGCTAATCTCAAACTTTCTGGGTTTTACTCCATCGATCTTCTGGATTCTCGTCATGTTGCCATTCAGTTGTCCAACGACAAGGATTATAGTCGCATTTTTTATAGACGTTCCTATTTTATTTGTAATTTCCAAATGAAAGTTTTAAAATGGACACCTTTCTTTGATATTCATGAGGAATCTCCCATTGTGACTGTTTGGATTTCCTTCCCAAATTTACGCTTACATTTTTTCAATCCTCAAGTTTTACATGCATTAGGTTCTATTTTTGGTAGACCATTGCAAACTGATCAAGCGACGGCTTCCAGGACGAGGCCGTCTGTTGCTCGGGTTCTTGTGGAAGTTGATATTTCAAAGAAATTTGCAAAAGAAATTTGGGTTGGATCCAGGGATTTTGGTTACATGCAAAAGGTGGAGTTTGAAAAAGTGGCGGATTTCTATACCCATTGTAAGATGCATGGTCATGGGGCTGTTGATTGCTTTAAACTTCATCCTGATTTAAAAAGAAATAAAAATTTGGTTTCTAATGTGGTTAATGCTGAGCTGAATGTTAACCAACAGCGAACCGTGGTGTCGGAAGGCAATCCTGTAG